AAACTCTGTAGATCAGGCTTGCCTCTGAACTCATAGAGATCTGCCTATCTCTGCCTTCCAAGTGCTGGGATTAAAGGTGTGCACTGCTGCCACCACCTGGCTATTACTGTCTTTCTAGTGAATTGCTTTTTGACTGTTAAGATTTTATGCGAACGATTCTTTATAGGTCATGCCACCTCAAAACCTAGAGAGAACAGATGAAATTTATATTGCTGGCTCTCCCTTAACCCCGAGAAGGGTGAGTGACGTTCGTGCTGATGCTGGAGGACTTGGAAGAAGTAAGTTTAAATACAAAGAGGAACATTTTGGAGTTTTGAATCTAGATAACTTAAATTCCATGTAACCTGTAAGTAAATGAATAGGCTCTGCAGAGCAAAAACTAGTCTGTGTCCTTAGGGACATAGTGATTACTTTAAAATGCTTTTTTCTGTGTAGGAGGGTTGGGACAGGGTCTTGTGTAGCCCAGGCTGGCCTTGAACTTGCTATGTTACCAGTGAAAACCCTGGACTTCTGATTGTCCATTTTGAAAATACTGTATTCCAGGTGTATACCACCACACCTGGCTTAAAAATGCTTTTAAGGAATATTAAAAACATTAAAAAATTATTTTGAGAGGTTTGGCTATATAGCCCAGGCTCCCCTTGAATTCTACATTGTCTTGCTCCCCTCAACCCATCCCCAACAAGGATTACAGGAGTGCCATGCTTATCTTTTTAGAACACTTTACATTTAACTTGATCTTTATTTGTAAGTGACTATCCACCTATAAATGTACAGAAAGGCTGAAACTGGAAAGGCAATCTGCTAACAATGCTTACACTGCTGTCAGTGAATTCTCTCATTTTCTCAAGTGTGTCTTTTTTATGGTTTTATTTTGTTATGTTTATTAGAGATAGGAGTCTCACTGTGTTGCCCAGGCTAATCTCCATCGTTGGTCCTCCTGACTAGTCCTCTCGCATAGCTGGGAATCGGGTGTGTAGCACCACAGCTGGCTGTTGTTACGGATAGAGCTGTGAGACCCAGGTAGATACAGACAAGCCAGTGAGGCAGGATGGCTCCATAAGTGGAGCCTCTTCAGCCTCATCACTGGGCTGTGCTACACTACTTAGGGTAATGTCATATCGCTGCTGGCCCAAGAAACACAGAAAGTCGGCTTATGTTGTAGCCAGCTCCTTAGATGACTGCCTAGGTGCAAGGTTCATATTCATGTGTGGGCTCTGTCTTTCTCGAGTTTCTGTTCGTTTTCCCTGTTATTGGAGATTGAAGCCAGGGCCTCCAAATGTAAAGTACACACCCTGCTCCTGAGTACACACCAGCTCCACAACTGTTTTCAAAGAACAGATAGATAGATATTTCTGAAGAGCTCTGAATCCATCAGGACATTGCTAATACTAGGTCTGTTCAGAATGTACTTAAAAGGCTGTAGCTATAAATGGATCAGTCTTACAAATCAAGTTGACTCTACGTCAGTGCCTACTCAGTAAATACGGATGATACAGGCTGTGGTGGCAGACTTCTGTAGCTGAAGGCTAAGGTAGTAGGATCTTAACTTTAAGGCCAGTCTGATTTAGCTACATGAAACCCTGTGTCAAAACAGTAACAAAAAACAGAAAACCAAACTAGCTCACCAATTAAAACCTTTCTGAAGTCTTTCTCATTTAAAAATTGTTTTTCGATTTATGTGTATGAGCGTTTCACCTGCGTGTGTGTATGTGTACCATGTATGTGCCTGGTGCCTCCAGAGGAGCCTCTGTAGTGGAGTTATGGATAGTTGTGAGGCACCATGTGGGTGAGGAGACCCAAACCTGAGTCTTCTGCAAGAGCAGTGCTCTTACCTGCTCAGCCATCTCCAGCCTTTCTTTGAAAGAACAGTAATGGTTTAACCACTTTTCAGTCCCAGAGCTGCCTCAGCTCTGATAAACTGGCCTTTTTTAGTCCAGTTTAGTTAGGAAAATCTACATGATGCTGGTTCCACAATACTGTCCTAGGCTTTCTGTCTTCTTGTAACCCAGAGGATGCTAAGTCACAGCTTTTAGGAGTCACTCTTGTTGAAGTCTTGCTGATCTCCCTACTTTTATTTTTAAATTTGAAATAGCTATTGTTACACCAGTCTTACAGGTGGGTGGGAAATGGAAGAGTTATGATTCAAACATGCACACATTAGTAAGAGTACTTAAATTAAGACATAACACTTAGTTTTTGTTTAGAGTGACTAAGAAAAAAGAAATGGTGGCGCATTCCCTTAATCCCAGCACTTGGGAGGCAGGGCAAGTGTATCTTTGTGAGTCTGAGGCCAGCTTTTGTGAGTTCTGGGATAGCTGTATATATGTATTTAAAAATGGCTAATGCTGATAATGTTATTTTTTATATTTTGCAACAATTTAAAAATTATTTTATATAAGCCATTAAATTATATAACTGAAGTGAATGAAATGTATGGCATATAAGTCATATCTCAATAAAGCTATTTAAAACTAAAACTTTATTAAATCTAAACCATACATGTCTACCTTACTGAAGAATATGGGATGTTAGTAATCTTCCCTTTGTGGAAAAAGGTTGATGAATATTCATAGAAAGCTGAAGGAGAAAACCGCAGGATGGCAGGTACATCTTCCTGTCTCCTGGCCAGGTAATGTCTTTGTTAAGATTTGAATCTGGGGAAATATAAAAGATTCCTTAAATGGCCTCTTCATCAAGTCGTAACAGAGGACAAAGCCTTGCTTCATTTACAGGAAGGAAAACCAGAAAGAGAGCACTGTGAGACACAGTATTTCCTTTGTGAAACGCTTTCAATTGAATTTTCACTAGAATAAATATGGGTGTAGCATGACTTCTGTACATTTTATTTGCTTTTAAAATTATAAAGTGTTTGAAACACACTGACTTTCCTTCTGAACAAGAGCTTAGGTAGAAGTCAGAACTGTCTCTTTGTTAAACAGTCTGGTTTCTTTTGGTCGTAGGTATAACATCTCCAACCACATTGTATGACAGGTACAGTTCCCCAACAGTCAGTACTACTAGAAGGCGGCTATTTGAGAATGATAGTCCCTCTGAAGGAAGCACATCTGGGCGCATCCCCCCACAACCCCTAGTCAACGCTGTCCCCGTGCAGAATGTATCTGGGGAGGCTGTTTCTGTCACACCAGTTCCTGGACAGACCTTGGTCACCATGGCAACAGCCACTGTCACAGCCAACAATGGACAAACAGTGACCATTCCAGTACAAGGTAAGGAAGGTAGAGTTAGGGATTGAATTCTCTGGCATTTGTCAGAAAGTCACCTAAGATTTGGAAAGTGTCAATCTAAGATAATCATGGAAGATGGGGAGGAAAGAAACAAAAACTTCATGTCAACATTCTTATCTTCTTTGTAACAAACTGCAGGTATTGCCAACGAAAATGGAGGGATAACATTCTTCCCAGTCCAAGTCAATGTTGGGGGCCAGGCACAGGCTGTGACTGGCTCTATCCAGCCCCTCAGTGCTCAAGCACTGGCTGGAAGTCTGAGTTCTCAACAGGTGACAGGAACAACTTTGCAAGTCCCTGGTCCAGTGGCCATTCAACAGATTTCCCCTGGTGGGCAACAGCAGAGCCAAGGCCAGCCATTAACCAGCAATAGTATCAGGCCACGGAAGACCAGCTCCTTATCACTTTTCTTTAGAAAGGTAACTTTTCATGCATCCTTACCAGACCACAGGCTCGGGAAGTGTAAGCATTAAACAAGGTTTGAAGTATTCTTCTCTCTCTGTTAGGTTTACTACTTAGCTGGTGTCCGCCTTCGAGATCTTTGTACAAAACTAGATATTTCAGATGAACTGAGGAAAAAAATTTGGACCTGCTTTGAATTCTCTATAACCCAGTGTACCGAACTTATGATGGACAGACATCTGGACCAGCTGTTAATGTGTGCCATTTATGTGATGGCAAAGGTAAGTCTGTTGTCAGTACTGGGAAGGCAGTGATGCTCCTTCGTTACCTAACGTTCTTAGATAGCTGACCACTGCCTTACATCCCGAATATGTGCTGTCAGCAGAGATTCAGAATATTCCATTTTATAAACATTGGGCAGTATATTTTTATCCATCTATTAATTAATAGACATGTGGATTGTTTCTGGCAATTATGAACAACACTGTTGTGCGCATTGTAGGTGATATTTTGTGTAGACACAGGCTTCCATTTCTCTTAGAGCAAATACCTAGAAATGGATCTGTGGATCATATGGGAACCGTATGTTTAAACACTAAGAAACTGCCAGGTTACATTTCAAAGTGTGGTTCCGTACTTTTATATTCCTATATGCAATATTTAAAGTTCTTAATTCCTCTAGTTTCTCATCAGTACTTTAAAAAGATTTACTATATGTTTGGAGGGAGAGAGAGTTTTTGCCCTGAGAGTTCATTGCCAAAGTTGAGATCCAGTATCATGAAGCTTTACCAGGTCTTCTGCATTTCATAGTGTCTGACTTACCGTGATTCCTCTTTACCTGTGGTATGAGAGTCAAGTCCAGCTTCACTCTCTGTGTTGCTTTCTGGCTGCCACACCACTATTTAAGCCAAGTCTCCCCACTGAATAAATAGTGTTGGCATGTTTGTGGAGTCAGTTCTTGTGGACACATGGGTTATGTTGAGACCATCTATTTGATTATGTTGATCTGTGTCCGTGATGTGTAGTACTTTATATTCTCAATGACTCTTGCTTTTTTTGTAAATTCTGAAATTGGGAAATACGAGTCTTGATTTTATTTATATTTTATTTTAGATTATTTTAGCTATTCTGAGCCCCTTGAAATTCCACAAAAATTTTAGAATCAAGTTGTCACTGTCATAAAAGAGTCACATAAAAATCTATAGATCAGTTTGGGGAATTCAGTCATCTTAAGTTCAGTCTTCATTCAACATGGCGTGTTTTCACGTTTGTTTAGGTTTTCAGTTTTTAACAATGACTCATGCTTTCCGAGTGTAGCTCTTGCCCTTGTTGTTTTTCCCGTAGGTTTTAATGGTATTGTAAATGTAGCTGTTTTGTTTTTGATGTACTCATTCCAAGAGTACAGAAAACAGTTGGGTTCTGTGCCTTGACTTAGTATCCAGCAACCTTGCTAAGTTGGTTGGTTTTGTGGTGCAGGGATTGAACGCAGGGCCATTAAAATGCTAGACAAGCACTCTACACTCAGCTCAGTCTCCAGTCCCCAACCTCTTACTGAGTTTTAAGCATATTGTGTGTCAACTGTTTTTATGTGCAGATTATGCAGTCTTAATAATTGTACTATTACTTGTCCAAATTCTATTTCATTCTTAATTACCATGGTTAGAACACCCAGTGTAATGTTAAAAGCAGAAGTCCTTGTATGCTTCCTGTCTTACAGAGAAAATGATTAACTAATCTTTCACTATTGGAATGTGGCATTAAAACTCTCCCCCACCAACCTGTACCTTAGGTAGACCGCTTTCACTCAATGAAGAGTTTTAGCTTATTGAGTGTTGTTTCATAAAAAGGTGTTGGATGTTATTAAAGGCCTTTCCCATAATCATTGTAGTTTTGATATGCTATTGGAGTATACTACATTAGTTGGATCATCTGTCTTCCCTTTGCAAATCTCTGTTACTTATGGTAACAATTTTTGATTTCATGTTTGCTTTACTAGTTTGTTGAGGGATTTTGTGCTTATTCACAAACTGTCGACTGGAATTTTATTGCATGGCTTTGTCTTATTTTGTTCCTGGAGTAAACATGGCCTTTTAGAAAGATAAATGTTTCTTCTTATTCTCTGTGAAGTTTGATTTTAGATAAGAAGTCCCTGGAGCCTGGTATTTCCTTTATGGGTAATGTATTGATGACCTCAGCTTCACTGTTCTTATAGGTCTGTTCGGGTCACCTGTCACTTCTAGAGTAGGTTTTGGCAGTGTGTATCATTTAAGACACTGTTTCTCCTGAGTTCAGGACATGTAGTTCCTTTTTTTTTTTTTCTTCCTTTAAGGTCTATAGTAAAGTCCCCTTTCATTTCTGATTGTAGTAATCTGAGTTATTTTTCTTGGTCAATCTAAATAAAGGTTGGTAATTTTGATAATTTCTAAGACTGCATGATTTCATTTTTTATCTCTATTAAGATATACCCCATTATTACTTTCTTCTTTCAGCTTACTTTGCCCTTTTAAATTTTTTCATTTATTTGGTGTGTGTGTGGTTTCTAGGAGTTGGTTCTGTTTTCCTTTAGGTCATTAGCCTTGCATGTAACATTTTTACCCACTTAATGTTATAGGATCTTGGAATTTTTTTTCCTAGTGCATTGGACAATTAGGTATATAATATGTATATTTAGTATTATAGTGCATTTTCTCAGTGTCTTTAAAAATAGTATCTCAGTATCCTTTGTAAATATGGCACTAACTACAAAGGCAGACATTATACTAGCTACATCTCAGAACTTGGCATCATATATGTTTATCTCAAACTACACTTGACTTTTGTATGACTTCTATTTAGCTTACATGTTCTTCAGGACCATGTGACTTCTAGCTTTGTGAGTGTCCCAAACTTCTCTCTGTTGCTGATTTCTAGTTTCATTTCATCGTGTGAATAACATTTTTATGTATTCCAGGCCTTTTAAATGTATGCAGGGTTTTTGTGTGCTTGACGACAGGGTCTTATATAACTCAAACCAGCCTCGGGCTTCTTCCATTCCTAAGTGCTAGAGTTACAGGTATATACAGCCATGCCAGTTTTACCCAGTGCTGGTGACTGAACCCAAGGCTTTGGGCATGACAGTCAAGCACGATACTAACTGAAAAATGTCTCTAGCCTTCTGACATTTGTTTAGGTAAATACTCTATTGCCATTAGGAGAACAGAGTGCTTTCTAGATGTTTGTTAGGTCAAGTTGTTTAATAGGTTTTCTGTTTTCTCTTTGATCTTCTGCCTAGATATGCTATTGTTGAAAGTTCTGTATTGAAATCTCTAAATATTTTTAGGTTATATATTTTACCCTTTTCTGAAATGGGGCTCATATTTTGGTACCCTATTAATAGGTACACTTATATTTATTACCTATAGCTTTTTGATGGGCTGATCCTTTAATTGTGTAGTGAACTAATTCTTCAGTAATATTTGTGTTAGTTACTAAAATCTACTTTACAGCTTTCTTTTGACTACTGGTTAAGTGAACATATCTGTTGTTTATTGTCAAATAATCTGTCTCCCAAGACAACATAGTTTGATGTTTCCCAGCCTTAGAACTCTCTAACATAGTGTTTACTCCATGCTTATTGTTACTGACTCAACTCCCTTTGTCTGCCATTTCCCTTGTTTTCTATGTATCTTACATACTCACATTCCATTTTCCCTATAGCTCTATTTCTTCAGATTTGCTTTCTTTTGAATTAGGTATTTTCTATTGGAGATTTTAGTAATGTGTTTGGGTTTTGCTGTATATCCATACACACACACAAACATCTCAGAACCTAGCTTCAAATTTATGTCAGTGATATATACATACTCTCTTTCTGTATTGGTACTGTTTATGTGTGTATATACATTCCACTGGAAGTACTGTAAGTCCACCATTACCTTGACTCAGTGGGTGACTTTTAAAGGAGCCAGTAAAAAGCACGTGTATATTTATAGCCGCTGTTATGTTAACCTTACTTACCTTTCTGCTTCTTATTGGTTCCTGTAGGTGTAGGTGGCATCTGCAGTCACTTGTCTAATACCCTATCCACCTCCTTTGTATGTACTTGGTAAATGTGTATTTCTCTTGCAGCTGTAACAATACATCATACACAGTGTTATACAATCACTCTTTTTAATTAAGAAGAATATGCATTTATCATTCTTGCAATATGTTAGTTGATACTTTACAAGTACACTGGCCTTTTCGATGTGTATTTGTGCTATCTGTTTTCAACACTTTCTATTGCCTTTCTATGGAGGTTGCTGTTAGTAGCAAACTGTGTTTATTCACTTCTGAAGAATGTTCTGCAGTACACAGACGTTTTTCTTTCTGCCCACTCTGAATCTGTTGTTACCTGTTTAGTTTCTGATGAGAAGGAAGTTCTTACCTTATTGGACTTTGCCTGTAAAAGCAAAATTGTTTTGATACATCTTTAATAAACCTGATATGGATATCTTAATCAATCCCATCTACTGTTTCTTGTCTTTCCGATGCATACACTAATGTTCTAAAGTACACTTGGGTGCTATCACCCCCTTTTTTACCCCAGCATCCTGCTGTGTAGCCCACATGGCCTAAAACTCTTGGTCCTCCTGTCCCTGCTTCCCATGCTGCTCAGCTTGGTCTTTGTTTCTTTGAACATCTTTTCTTGCTTCTCTGCCTCTATCCTCTTCTGAAACTCTGGTTCCATGTGGGCTGATGTGCTAACTGCTGTCCAACAGTTTTCTGAGGCTGCTTCTCTTGTTTTTCTGTTCTTCAGACAATACACTTCCTCCTTAGATAAGTGTTTTTGTTTTCTCCTTTGCTGGTTCAGATCTAACAACTTCCACTTGTAGTCAGGTTTCAGTTTAGTCATTGAACTTTTCAACTCCAGGCTGTGGTTTACAGGCTGGCCTCCTTACTAACTTCAGGTTTTCATGAATGGAAGGTTGTTCATTTACTATAGTCTTTGAATATGGTGGCAACAGGTCCACTGAGCTGCTCACTGCCATGCCTGATGAGGATCTCGCTAAGTATTCTCACTGTTTGTAGGTCACAAAAGAAGACAAGTCCTTCCAGAATATCATGCGTTGTTACAGGACTCAGCCACAGGCCCGGAGCCAGGTAACCATGTTTTTTCTCAGGGCTGAAAGTAAAGCTTAAGTCTGTGATGAATTAAACAAACAAACAAATTAGCTATAATTAGTTCTATGCCTTTTCCCCTGCAGGAGTCACAAGTAAGAATCTAAGGGGATTGCCTATTTTCATTTTTTACATTGCTGGCATACAATTCCATGCAAGTTATTTAAAGTCCTCTTCCTTCAAAGGCAATGATGAGAAATATTTATTTTTATGTATATGGTATATTACCTGCATGTGTATCTGCACCACATGGGTGCCTGGTGCCCTCAGAGGCTAGAAGAGAGCACTGGAGCCTACGGAACCGAAGTTACAGACTGTTGGGAGTCATCATGTGGGTGCTGGGAATCAAACCTGGGTCCTCTGGAAGAGCAGCGCATGCTCTTAACCACTGAGCCATCTCTCCATCTCATGACATATTAATTCAGAGAATCGTGAACTCAATACAAATGTAGAAGTTAACTGATTTTTATGTCACCTTTTAGTCTGGTTTAATAAAGCACAGTAATAAAGTAAGACAAGGAATGATAAAGTAGATTTATAATTTTCATTCAATGTTGTCTTAGGTTATTTCTGTGCTTTATTAAAGCAGACAAAGGTGACATAAAAATCAGTTACTGAAAACCAAGAATGTTGTCAAACCTTTGTTCTAGGCAGTACTTGGCATCTGAAGTGAGACAGGCTCTAAGTCCCAGTTGTTAGTACTTTCCATGACCTACATCACAAGGCTATTGCTACGTTGAAACAGCGTATGTAGTTCTGGTTGGCTTACTAGTCACTGTGTAGATCAGGCTGGCCTTGAACTCACAGATATGTCTGCCTCAGCCTCCCAAGCATTGGTACTAAAGAATGTGCACACACACTAAATCCTAGGGAATCAGAGGACCTGTTTATTGCTATTAACAAGTAGTGCAAGCAGACATAGAAAAGTTTTTGTTGTTTTTCTTTCTTTTTTGAGATAGCAGCCCACATTGGCCTTAGAACTAGCAACAGTCCTCCTCAGCCTTCTGCGTCCTGGGATCACAGACATGCCCAATGCCTAACTTGGTTGCAGCTCCTAACATTCCCTGAAGACAACTATCACTGTGTGGATTTTTTTGAGAACCAAGTACCATATGTTAATGTCCTACCACCTAGTTTATATTCAATAAATGCTAGTTAGCATCTCCTTCTCACTGTCTCTTTAAAGGTATACAGAAGTGTCTTGATAAAAGGGAAAAGAAGAAATTCTGGCAGCAGTGAGACTAGAAGCCACCAGAATTCTCCAACAGAACTAAACACAGACAGAGGTAAAGGAGGTGGGTCTTTATGAACATCTAGTTTTAGGTCAAGAAGACTAAGAACTATAAAATATAGTAGTGTATTCTCAAACAATTTGCTGGAATAAATTTAGAGGCCAGTTCTTTATTCCAGTGCTTTGAGACACAGGGAATATACCATGTTTCAGATAGGAATCTCCAGCCTGAATTCCAGAACTAGCTTGCCTGTCAGACCTGTGCTATATAAATGTTGTTCCTAGTTGTTGACCTAAACCTGTTAGAACAGGATTCAGGTTCAAGAAACCTCTATGGTGTTTACTAATATACTCAGTTAACCTAGGTACAGTTATGATAATGGAATAGAGTTAGTATTTTGAGTTTTGCTTCTTGATATGAAGAACATAGCTCAAGATCCAGGAGTAGTGGTCCATGCCTGTAATCTCATTTCTACCATGTCTAAGGCAGGAGGATTATGAGCTCCAGACCTGCCTGGGCTATAATGTGAGACTGTCTCTCACTGGATAATAATCACCACCGTTACCAAGGGCTGAGGAGATAGGCCAGTCAGTGATGTACTACACAAGGATGTGGACCTGTTTGATCCCTAGCCTCTACATAAAAATCAAGGCAAGCACTTGCAATCCTAGGTCTGGGGAGGCAGAGACGGGGGCATCACTGAGGTGTGCTAGCTGGCCACCTAGTGCAGTTGGTGTGCCTCAGGTCCTATTGAGAGACCTTGTCTTAAAAGCAAGGTAGATAGCTCCCAAGGAATATGGTACCCAAGGTTGGCCTGTGGCCTCCATACAGATGTGTACCTTCATACACATGAATGACACACACCAAACCCTGAAGAATCAAAGTGCCTACTTATTGACACTGATGACGAGTACTTACATATAGCCATTGCCCCCTTTTCCTAGTGAGGTCTTTTTTCAAACCGTCCAGACCAGCAGCACCCTTTGTTTTCTTGGCTGCAGCCAGTAGAGATTCCAGTCCAGTTATGAGGTCAAACAGCACCTTACCAGTTCCACAGCCCAGCAGTGCCCCTCCTACACCAACTCGACTCACAGGTGCCAACAGTGACATTGAAGAAGAGGAAAGAGGAGACCTCATTCAGTTCTACAACAACATCTACAGGAAACAAATCCAAACGTTTGCCATGAAGTACTCACAGGCAAACTCGCAGGTAAGTAGGTCAGGGATCACTGAGTGCTGCTTCTCCTCCTGAGCAGGAGGAATCACTTGAGTTTTCCATCATAAACTAGATTTACAAAATTCTTTAACTAAATAAAACTAAGTCTCCAACACAAGTACCAAGGCACTAAGCAACTAAACTTTCTCTGTGTATCTGTCACCTCATATATTAAGTGAGAATAGAAGTTAGTAGTTTATCTGACTGTTGTGAGAATTATATGATGTAATGTATAAAAATGCTCAACAGAGAGGCTGACAGAAACTCAACTCCTGCAGTGTTAGCTGTTGGTGTGAGCCTCTGTAGTTTCTTTGGTTGTTGCTGATCCATCACTGTCCAGCTTTCAAAACACTTCCGGCTGACTGTGCCTCTTCACTCAACTGATGACTTTGAATCCGACCTGGCTGGGACAGCTTTTCTCAGAATTACTTGTTTTGTTTTCAGCAGACGGACACTCCTCCCCTCTCTCCCTATCCATTTGTAAGAACAGGCTCCCCTCGCCGAGTCCAGTTATCTCAAAGTCATCCTATCTACATTTCCCCACATCAAAACGAAGCGATGCTTTCTCCCGGAGAGAAGATTTTTTACTACTTCAGCAACAGCCCATCTAAGGTAAGACTACAGAAATGGCGTTAATTAACTCGAAAGTGCTTAGAGGCTAGGACTAGTTATTGTGAGTAAGAACGTCCTGGAGCAGGACAACCGTCAGACATCAGAAGGCTTAGGCCACTCTGGGCAGAGCCTAGGACCCGCTGGGTTCTGAGGACATCAGGGTTGGAAATAAAGTAGAGGAACTGTTTTTCTTGCCTCCTTTCCAATCTACACATTTCGAATATTGAGTTTTCTTTCATTAGTAAAATTTTATTTTTCTGCTTCTGTTCAATCTGGACTCTTAAACTGGATACCGAGTTCTGTTTCTGCAGCCGTCACTTTCTCCGTCTTTTGGGGAAGCGGAGAGCTCAGTGTTAGATATATGTGGTAGCACCTGTTTCAGTCTGAGAGCAGGGAAACTTGAAGCCTAGTGGTGAAGAGTAACATAGTTCCTGAGATGTGGCTGTACAGCAAAGGAGCAGAGAAGAGAAAGAAGTGATGTCCTTAAGGCAAAGGCTATCCCACTGGGAGTGATGCAGACTCAGATGGGGACAGAAGCAGCTGTGGCGAGCCAAATGTAGCATGTGCCCTTTTCGCCCTGAGTTGTGCTTGGGGAACCATGTGACACAGGGTAGGGTTGTGACTTAGTGTGGTGCCTACATTGACGACACTGGAGGTTACCAATGTTATTTGGCTTGTTGCCGCTCATTACTGACTGAGCCATCTCCCCAACCCTCTTACCTCTTTTGATTCCTGTACCCCCTTACCACCACAATCCATTTTGGAATCTATTTGGTTGAAATTGCAAGTTTTATAGGAAATACTGTCCCAATTTTAGGAAACATCATCCCTCTGCAATTACTTTTGGGGTCAATTACTGACAATCTGTAGGTTTTACAAACAACCCCATTACGATCATCTGAATTTAGATGTAAAAACGTATGCATTGCTTCAAACGTGAAGATACACTTTAAAGGCGACAATCCTGCTGGATGGCAGGGGCACACACCTTTAATCCCAGCACCCGTAGAGCAGAGGTGGGCAGATCTCTGAGTTTAAGGTCAGCCTGGTCTACAGAGGCAGAGGCAGGCGGACCTCTGAGTTTAAGGACAGCCTGGTCTACAGAGTGAGTTCCAAAATGGCAATCCAAATATCTAGTAGTTGATGAATAAAATATGTATGTGACCAAAAAGTAAAGCACTAGCACACACTCTGTGTGGGTAACCCCTGTAGACACAACAGTGAGTGGGGTTAGTTATAAAAGGCTGCACGTGATCTACCCAGGCGAGATGCAGACAGTGAGCAGATACTCAGAGGCAGAGAGCAGATCAATGGTTGCCTGGGAGAAAAGGAAACATTTCTGCTAGTGGAAAGATTGCTTTGAGAGCAATAAGGTTGATTGTACCAAGCAGCTATCACTGGAGTCACACACTTCAAATGTGAGCTATGTGGATGTAAATTTTATCTCAATAAGGCTGTTGTAAAGAGCATGTTCAAAACACCATGCTAGCACCAAGTACAAAGAGAAGTGCAGTAGCTATGCAACAGGAGAACTGGACTTCAGAGCAATGAGACCCAGAGATTCATTTCCTGGCTAGAAGTACAGCTCAGCAGTGAAGCATCTGCTGAGCATGTATGAGCTCTCTGCTCAGTTATGAGAGGTATGAGCTGTAAGGAGAGAAAATGAGTAAAAGACAGGACAACAGTCCACAGCGTCCCCTGCATGTGGGACACGTTTACAAAGGTAGACTGTACTCTGGATGACAGACACATCCTAGTACAGCGCTGCACACCAATCTTAGCCATGCCAAGCAGGTGCTCGTCCATTCAACTGCATCCCACATAGGTGGCAAATTAAAGGAGTCAAATAATGCAATTCTTTTTCTGGCCATGAATGCTATCTGGAAACCTCTAAAGTTTTGGAGCTTAATATCAGATTTCTTTGGGTCAAAGAAGAGATCAAGAGAAAGTGAAAGCATTTTATATTACTGCTACGCTACAGTGTTTAACTTGTAGGTGTTTTAGTCACTGTTCTACTGCTGTGAAAAAACACCATGACCAGTTAAAACCCCAGCAGAATTATTTGTATAAAGTAGACTATGAGTCAAAAATTTGTATAAACAGGCAAAGAAACCGAATAATACAACTTAGAAAGAGTTGGGGGTTTCACACCATCTGATTCTCAGGCTTAAGGGAGTGTTGCTCAAGTGCAAGTTCAGAGGTCAGTATGACACACTGACACACACTCTGTGTGCATGCTGAGCTGATCTTTCACAGAGGTGCTGCAGCCGTTGTAAAAAGTCATGTGGACAGATGGTGCTAACCAAGCAGCACCCTCTGTGCTGGAACAGTCAGAAATCATAGGCATGTCTTGTGCCACGTGTGAAACTTAATGCCAACAAATCACAGATATAAAACCGACAACTGAAAACTTAGAGAAGAAAATGAAGTCTTGATGAGCATGTGTTGTGGACAGATCTCTCAGATACAACATAAAAATCACAATCCATAAAATAAGCTGTATTTTATTACAATTAAGAATTTCTGCTGTTTAAAACAATGTTAGAGGGGCTAGAGAGATGGCTCAGGCATCAAGAGCACAGACTGCTCTTGCAGAGGACCTGAGTTCAATTCCCAGCACCCACATGGTAGCTCATGACTATAACTCCCAAGATCTGACACAGACATACATGCAGGCAAAACACTAATACACATAAAAATAAAAATGTAACAAAAAACTCCCAATATTAGAACAAAGAAGGCATGGGCTTGGGAAAAAACCCAAGCCATTCCATTTCTGGTAAAGGATTTGCATGTGCACAACACATAAAGGATCTGTAAACTCAGGGGGACCAACAGCAGACAGAAGTCCCGGCAGTGCTGTAGAGCAGCTGAGACCCACACTGCTGGACGGAGTGCACAGTGCTATAGCCGCACTGGAACACACTTGGCCAGTTCTTCTAAAATTGAACATAGTTGTACCTATACCAATCATCTTAGTCTTACATATTTAGTGAAGTGGAAATCTATGTTCACTCGAAACCATGAATGTTTACAGTAACTTCATTCCGAGTTATTAAAAAGCTCAAAATAACCAAAATGTCCTCGATCTGATTAATGGATAAACAAACTTGCATTTTAGTGAATTATTACGTTAATAAAACAAACAAAAATAAAAAAACTCATAGCACTCAGGAAGTTGGGGTAGAATGTTAAGTTTGAGACCAGGCCAGCCTGTTCTTCATGGCAATGCCCTGCATCGAACCCCACCAAACTTTAAACTCTAAGGCTTACCAATCACCAAATCAAGCGAGAAGTACTGATAGACTCACTAGCACCCCTGAACTCAGTGCATTCATGCATGTGTGAAATGTACTAGAGCACTTGGGCTTCACAGAAGAGGGAAATCCAGGGAAAAGGAAATGCATTGTATTTTTGTTAAGGTTACGCAACACCCGACATTGTCCTCTGTCCACACAGCACTTGCCATGTGGAGACACACATTATTAAGATTTGATGGGAAAAGAGTCTCAGTAGATGACAACTGGAAGCAAGGAAAACTCTCAAAAAGTAAGCAGTATGATCTACAACCAGCCTAATAAACAGTCACAGAACAAGGAGAAAAGAAAACCACCAGGCATCAGTCAGTTCTCACAGTGCTCCTGGAAGGGCAGATTCAACGGAGCGACCAACTGCTGAACAACTGTTCACAAGATTGGGTGACTAGGAAGAAGTAATAACCAGTGTGGGACTAGCCATGATAGATGTATTCTGAAATACCATACAGACGTTAAAAAGATGAGGCAAACTCTAAGCAGCCCTTCAATTCATATACATAGTCCCATAATATACTACCTTAAAAAAAAAACCTCACTAATGCATATTTCTAAGACTAAGAGAAGCCCTGGAAAAAAGGCAGAGGATACACACAAAGCAGGCAGATACTCAGAGTGGAGCAATAGCAGTAGGTAGCCCTGGGGACTGGGTGAGAAGAAACAAGTGTGGGCTGGGCTGGTGACGTGGCTTAGGACAGCATGGTGGAGGGAGGAAACTGTAGTATCCATAAGATACAATAAATAATAAAGAGGCTAGGAATATCCTATTCCCTGAGGGAATTCTTGGCTGAGACCGTGAGGATCAGAGGGTAAAGGGACTTGCCTCATATACTGGTGACCTCGGTTTAGTATCTGGAAGCTAAGTAAAGAGAGAACTCCACCTACCCTCCACATGGACAACTTGGCAAGCCCCACCCTACCACACTAGTGAAGATTTGAACTGTGAAAACATATCCAGATCATGTAAATGAATTGTACAGAAAATATATGTGCCACATGTATATAATAGTTATTTACAAAATATATAATATGCTGTGTGTTATGATAGCTATATGTACACTGAAGAGAAACAATTTATAATTTATGTAGTATTTAATCAACTACTGTGGTCAGTGAGCCAGCTAAGGAAACCCAGATAACAATGAGGACTCGACTTTTAGGAAGGCAGAGCGAGAAGAGAAAGGATGAAGGAAGCCTCTTATATGATAGCTAAATTTTTGAAAATACATATGCTGGCAAACACTGATGATTGAACTGAAAACTTCAGAAGTTTATTTATGTCAGAGTAAAGAACTGAACTGATGGGCTATAGTGGAGTGGTAGTGTCTACCCAGCATGCCCCAGGCCTTTGCTTAATCCTCAAAACCACAAAAAGATAAAAATAAGAACTATGTCTAGGATATACTTATTCTTTTGACTCTAGGTTTCATGTAGCCCAGGCTAGCCTCAACTTTGTTGTGTAGCTGAGGATGGACTTAAATTTCTGACCCTTCTGCTTCCATTTCTGGAGTGCTGATATTCCAGGTGTATACCACTATGCCAGTTGTGCAGTGCTGGGAATTGAATAGATGGCTGTTTGCATGCTACCAATTTACGGTCTTGGCCTTAGGATGTGCATTTTAAAATCTGGGGGATGAGAAGTGAGCAGACTTGTAGGGAACTATAAGTGTTCACTATCCCTGTCTACTCACCACTCTGGAATTCCTTAAATTGTGTATTTTAATATTCTTGATATCCTTTTTTTTTCCCCCAAGACAGGGTTTCTCTGTATTGCTCTGAATGTCTTGAAACTCCCTCTGTAGACCAGGCTGGCCTGGAACTTACAGGTCTGCCTCCTGAGTGCTGGGATTAAAGTTGTGCACCACCACTGCCCCCTCAGTATCCCTTAAAATAAGAAACATGAATAAAGACCCAGCCAACAAGGTACCTGAAGAGAACAGTGTCCGAGCAGACTCTGGGGCTCTGCAAGCAATGCTGACGGCACAGTCTGCCAGTGCCTTTCTTCACTGGGCTAGTCACTGAAGCCACCGAACATGACAAATAATTTTACTAACTTCCCAGTCCTCCCGAGAACATCTAACCCGTGCCTTGGAGCTGCTATTGCAGTACAGTAATGAATGCCCCGAGGACCTACAGCTTATTTCTCCAGAGAGACTGTGGCTGAGGATGACTGCTAGAAAACAAGGTGCTCAGGCATGCTATCTCAGATACTGGAGCCACATCGGCAGGAACATCACAAGGTCAAGGCTCGCTTGGGCTTCGGAGCTGAAAGCTAGTCTGGCTAACAGCTATGACTATCTCAGAGTGAAACAGAAACTTGCCATAGTGGCTCACACTTTTAATCTCAGCACACACAAGGCTGATGTAAGTGATGCTGTGGCTTTGAGGCCACCTAGAGCTACAAAGTGTGTTCCAGGCTGGGCTGGGCTAGGGTGGAGGGACTACAGGTTAAGACAAGGTCTTGCTAGATAACTCCAGCTGAGCTGGGCCGCAATCTGTACTGTAGTAAGCTGACTTTGAACCTTCTGCAGTCCTCTTGCTTCTGCCTCCCAAGTAGTGAGCCACCGAACCTCCAAGTCACGCTTGTGTGTGGAACTGTGGAGATGGCTCAGTGAGTGAGGGCATTTGTCACAAAAACCCCATATAAAGGTAAAAACTGACCTCCATACATACACACAAACCCTGACCTATACACACACACGCTGACCTCCATTCTTGTGCCCATCTCAAAGTGGATGTATGATTAAACATGCATAATTGTGATGCTATAGAACTATCTATCACAACATGCTGAACACGTCTATTATAGATATGTGTATCACAATCACCAAGAAAGTGTAAAAAATGGAAATGCTCTGCCCGACCCAGAGTCACCAGTGTCCTGTAAGAAGCTGCTCAGGGTTTTCTTTCTACAAAAGTGTTCAAACGCTTACATTTTAAATTTGTGACTCTTTAACTTCCTACTGAGCATTTTCAAGTTTTTCTAACTCTGTTTTCCTCACCATAGAGACTAAGAGAAATTAACAGTATGATACGGACAGGAGAGACTCCAACTAAAAAGAGGGGGATTCACTTGGACGATGGAAGTGAATCACCTGCAAAAAGAATCTGCCCAGAAAACCATTCTGCTCTGTTACGCCGTCTCCAAGATGTAGCTAACGACCGAGGCTCACACTGAGGTCAGTGTTCAGGAGGAAACTGTCTCCACATGAAATGCTGAGCAGGACTGATGCATGCAGGATTACGGAACCTTGCTCCTTCATCCAGCAGCGGATTAGAGGAGGTAGAAAAGGGAAGCTCCTCTGACTTGATGTGGCAGTAAATGCCTGTTATCCCATCACCCAAGGGGTAGAGGTAAGAGGACCAGGAGTTTAAGGCTAACCTGAGCTACAGCATGTCTGGGGCCAACTTGGACTACATGTAACCCTTACTTAAAAACAAAAAATGGAAGGGACATTTTGGTAAGAAATCAGACTTATTCCAGTATCCTTAGAAAGTTTTATTCATCCCAGTTGATTCTTCCTCTACTTAGTGCTTACCTTCAACACTGCTCAGAATCCAAGCCTGGATTTTTTTTTTTTCTTTTTTTTTTCTTTTTTTTTTTTTTTTTTCGAGACAGGGTTTCTCTGTATAGCCCTTGCTGTCCTGGAACTCACTCTGTAGACCAGGCTGGCCTCGAACTCAGAAATCCACCTGCCTCTGCCTCCCAAGTGCTGGGATTAAAGGCATGCGCCACCACTGCCCGGCCAAGCCTGGATTTTTTAACTCTAGTAAACTTTTACAAACACTGCAGAAAGCAGATCTTCAGAGGCCTTTGTAGGTAGGCCCCAGGAGAGGAACTGCATTTCTGCTTGCAGATGGTTAGGTCCAACCATGTGTTAAAACACCTGAGATGTTTACAAACAGAGCAGAGGGGATGGGCCCCGACTTGGAAGTGTCCAGGCCTTGGCCTAAGGCTCCTGATCCCTTCCCCAGTAGGTATGGTACGGTACAGTGTGAAAGTCGTGCAGTGTCTGAATGAACCTGTGTAATTGGTGGCACTTTAGGGCTATAAGATGCATAGCACTGTGACCCAGATTTTGCTGTATATTTATGATGGCACTTTTTACAGTGTGAAATTAGTAGGTACAAGCCTTCTAGAAGGGCTTAGGCTAAACAGCTAATATTCTCTTTAATGCTTTTCTTAAAGAACTGCTGATGTAGCTACACGTTCTGGGCACGTGTAAAACTCTCCCATTTGTGGTAGTGGCATTACATAGGGATCATTTAGCTAAAGATTTTTAAATCAAGTTGAATTGAAGTATTTGAAAAATTATGACCCCTTCCCTTTTGGAAGTAGTTATCTCAAAGAAACTATCTTTGAGGGTATTTCTGGAAGTTAAAAAAATAGGTTGGAGAATTTAGGTTTTTATTAGTACATAGTACCATTTATACAAATTAGAAAATTATTTAACAGCTATTGATTATCTACACATATCTTTATTAATCATTATTGTCAAGTTGTTTTTAAAGTTGGATTAATAATCCTAAAGAGAAAATTCAATTGTAAATTGGATCATTATAAACCAAGTTACTAAGTAACTTCATGCTGCTCTAAAGCACCCAGCTGCAAATCTACAGCCTTGCACTGCCCACCAGAGGAGTGCTGTGCAGAGTACTTAGAAACCCTTAGTACCGCTACTGTTATTTTATATGAAAATATGTGTATTTTTCAATAAAGCACTTATAAATTAGTCTCTGTTTAGTTATACTGAAAAGGAGCATTACTTTCCTGCATAAATGACAATCATTTATTGGTTTATTTCATCTCCACTAACACATCGGTCATTCACCATTTAAATACCTAACTTCATCAGAAACCGTTTGAACACTTTTTTCTTCTTCCTGCCATAAAAATACAGTAATTTGCCTTTAAAAAAACAAAACTATGAAGCAGCATCCTGGTTCTGCCTACATTCCTAATGCTTCTGAGATAGATGTTTACAGCAAGTCAGCAGGCTGAAGCCGGGAAGCCAGTCTTTGAAAGTGCTGCACTCTGGAGTCTGTTCTCTACACCCTTCTTCATGGCCTAACATATATGTACACCTGAAACTACCAACTGCAAACTATTACACAGTACTCGTTTCTCTGTCTTCTGTTTTAGGTAAACACAACTTACCTCTAACATATTCAGAAAAATACTTAAGCCTCAAGGTCCCCAATAATTTGGAGTACTGAACTAGATCCACCCTGACACTTCCGATAGAAGTAATGCTTTACTTAATGAGAGGTCTCCATAGCCTGCTGTTAGAACCTATGCATACACAACACTGATAGCCAGTCACTGTTCACGAGGTTTACTCTTCAGGCAGTCCTTTGCCATTAGTCAGCGTTCACTAGGCCAGAGTCCAGCAGGAAAGTGCATGGTGCACCAGATCCGCCATCTCTTAGGTTGCTACTGTTTTCTCTTCTTTACTGAAAGGTTGGACTGAGCCGGGCTTTACCCAGGACAGGCCAGCAACGTGAACACTTTTATTGTGCTGTTCATCAGGCTTCTTCTGGGCACAATCAAAAACAGACATAAAAAAAAAAAAAAAAAAACAAGGACTAATGAGCAAGCTCAGAATGGTACTGACTAGTTTCCCCAAGCTGTGTTTAACAGTGGCCTCCAATGCCGACAGCTAGGACAGCCACATCAAAAACAGTTATGTACTTACTTTCTGAGTCAGCATCTTTTCTCTGGCCTCATCATGTACAGAAGGGTTCCATGGAGAAAAGCTTGAAGGGCAAAAAAATATTAAAAATAATTTATGGTTTTCTAAACATGTACAGTATTCATTTCTCAAGAAAATTCTAATAAAATTTAAGAAGGAAAAAAATGTTAGGGTCCCTCTGTGTAGCCCTGGCTGTCCTGGAACTTGCTCTGTACCAGGCTTAGCCTTAACTCTGGCCTGCCTCTGCCTCTCAAATGCTGAGATTAGGTGCGCACCTCCACCCCAAAGCCCTGGCTAAAAAGCAGTCTTTAATCAGTTGCTAGCAAGTATACTGATGTTATCTGATAATTACCTCATATAAACAGATTCATTCCTGTAAACCTCATGCCACCCCTGAAATATTATCTAAAGATGAAGAAAACAAAGCGGAGTGAAACCAAGTACTGGCTTTGGATTACCAAAGCCTAAGTACAAATGTCAAGCAGAGCCTGTGCGTATCGCTACAGTATACTTCGACCCATGTCCACAAAAGCTATCGGGGCCTCCTCCTTAGACGATTTCTCCACCTCATCTGTTCCGATGTCAGGGGAGATCTAGTTCAGTACAAGCATCTTTCTGAGCATGGTAGAGGTAAGTTCTGTTTACTTCTAACAGAGCAGAGAAATGAGTCTGAAGTTGGTGGTGTGAGCTCTACTTCTGCTGGGCCATGAAGAAGGGTGTGGAGAGCAGCTCACACTGTCTTCTGAAAACTCCTCACATGCAAAGATGAAAAAGCACTTGACAGATTCTCAGGAAACCAGAGTCACGAAGTCTATCATTACTGGTGGTGTGTAAGCCATGCAAAGCTTTTGGTTTAAGGCCAAGAGCCCGAGTGGCATCAGGAGTTGAGCTGACAGAAAGTGAAAAGCTCCAGGCTAACGTATGTTCCTCTAAGGTCTTATTCTGAGCTCATCTGGAAAGTGGAAATATAAAGGACACAGCACTTACCTAATGGCATAGGGGTCTTCGATCTTCGGCTGGTCAAACAGACGAGCAGTGCATACTTTAACACTGTCGACCACCTTACTTTTAAAAAGCTGAATGTCTTTTTCATACCTGTGTTAAAAGTTTTAAAAATTTACCAATTTATCTTAAATAACAAATTTATATTTGTTATTAAAATATATTTGTTATCTTAAATACCAAGTTTATCCTAAGTAACAAAGTAAAGGTCACATACAGCACTGCGGCCTCTGGGTTTAGGGGGCTCGTGGTGTCGATCTTGTAGAAGACTCTCCTTGCATACATTAACACCTGCCATATATGATTATGGTTCCGCCTGCAGGGAGACCAGCGTGATTACTGCGCCTTGTTCCCACGGCCATGCACTACAAGAAACACTGATACACTAACCTCCACTTTGCGAATGCTCTTTTCACATCCAGCTCACCCGAGGTGGGATCAACCAGTGGGTGAAAGACGGGAATATCAAACAGCAAGCGCTGTAGGTAAAGGAGAGACTTCAGTGAGTGACGTCATGCTGCTGGTCAGATCTGGCCCACGAAGGCCGCTAACTGTTACCATGTTCCTGCAGTGGGGGAGATACCACTCTCCTCCTTGGCAGCATGGCCATGACCAGCCATACAGTGAGTGGTGCAGCATGGCCCCCAGCCTCACACATGCAGAGCAGAGAGAAAGGGTGAAGCTGCAGGAGAGGTGGCATGACCAGAGGTACAGCAGCAACCTCACTGTTGGTTGTGAGAGACATACATTTGAGGAGACTAGGGTCATTACAAGATTTACAGTCAGGCGAAGAATCAAGAAACCTGTACGTCTTGCTTTGCCCTCAGTGAGTGAAGCTCTGCACAGGCTCGGGCAGTGCTACTTACTGGACAGTCGCCATCTGGATAGTTATCAGGAATATACACGGTAAACTTGAACACGCCGTCCTGATACAGCCCGTGCCGTATGAATATTACTCCAAACCATACTGCAGGAGAACATGAACATGCTAAAGTCTATCTGGGTCAGAGGACCTCACACACTGTAAGAACCTCAAATCCACATCTTACCTAGTGCAGAGCGGTAAGACGGCTGTACGTAGACCCCCGGCAGCTTCTGCTTCACTACCAGCGTACTAAACAAGAACAGTAGGAAGTTAGCTTGTGCAGATGCCAGCGCCTCGAGCAAGGCAGGCCATCCCACATTATCTGAGACAAGGCAGCATGCCTCATGGCAGCTGGTGCCCAAACTATTCAAATGGATTCATTCCAGTCTTGCACCTGAACATTTCCTAAACCATCACCCTCTTACTTCGAAAACAATCCACAGAGAAACTCAAGCCAATACAGGATTCCAGATTGAGAAAGGCAAATAGGGACAAAGAATCAAGTTTTACTCTCAGAAACAGATCATTTTGGATATAAAACTGAGGTAAATGAGCTGATATGGTAGCCCCCCACATTTAGTCCCAGCACTGGGGAGCAGAACGGGTGGATCTCTGTAAGTCGAGTCCAGAGTCAAGTTTCTACACAGTGAGACCCTGTCTCAAAAACAAACACATATACACACAACAACAAAAACAAAAAAACTCACAATAAGACTGAAATATATCTGTAAAATTATTGATTTTATCATCATAAACTAAGGAGTTCACACATTCAAAAACTGAGTTTTTTACTATTAAAAATGTATTTTCTTTTTGGGCTTTTTGAGCATACTCCATTTGTACTACTAAATTAAAAGCAACCTGTTCTCAACTGCAATCATAAGTACTAAGAGTCCAGAGTTGCCATCACTTAGCTGTCCTTGTGGGCTGGCCTCTCTAGGTCACGTGGCAAGACAGGCTTTAGGTGTAGTGTTGCTTGTGGAGGTAGGTATCATTTTGAGCTTCCAAACAATCCTGACCTCAGTCAGACTCTCTGGGCCTTGCTAGAGAAGGTGAATGCTGACACAAGGCAAGACCGAATGTCGTGGTAGAAAGATGCTACTGTTTTGTCTGGAACCCAGTTACACACTGGCCACCATTTTGGTTGGGCCCCAGTGATCTGACACTGAAAAGGACAGTACTGACCAAGGTACATTTACATGCAAATCCTGAAATGTATGAAGAAATAGTTTACGGGGCTTTTTAAAAATTTTTATTTTTATTTTTTTTTGAGACAAGGTTTTTCTCTTAACCCTAGCTGTCGTGGAACTCACTTTTTAATCCAGGTTGGCCTCTGTCTCTGCCTCCCAAGTACTGGAACTACAGGTGTGTGCCACCACATCTGGTATGATTTATTTTTATATGAGCATTTGCCTGCCATGTATGTAAAGGCGCCATGTATGTAAAGGCACCATGTAGGTCCCTCATCCCCATAGAGACCAAAAAGGGACATCAGGTCCTCTGGAACTGTAGTAACAAATGGCTGTGAACTACCATGTGGGCATTGGAAACTGAACCACGGTTGTCTACAAGTGTCAAGTGCTCCTAGCTGCTGAGCCAGCTCTCCAGCCCGAGCCTTGTTTACTACCTAAGTGCCTCACATTTATTTCTCATCCCTTTCTAAGTTACTTGTGTGCCCCAGGCTGATCCTACTGCAACTATGACAGGCAGATCGTCACCTTTAAGTCCCTAAGATTTAGAGTACAGAACCATGGCTAGCAGATAGAGCTACCCACAGAGACAATGCTTGTTGTTGGAAAAGGCAGTTTGTATTTAACACAAACAGCTTTCAGTCACTACAGTAGGAGCCTGTCCACCTCACTGCTCAGCCTCAAAACACAAAGCAGCCATTATAGAGTGAAGAGACCACTGCTACACTACACTGAGTACTCACTCCCTGGAAGGAACTACAGAAAAACTTAAAGATTATAGGAATTAAGAATTCCCCAATGTTCTGTCCCTTTAACGAATGATAAAAACAACATGGTACTTATTAAAACAACATGGTACTTGAACCCTGCTCTGTGTTGAGCGGTGTATCATCACTCCTAGCATGCTACTGCACAGTGCACAGTCCCTGTCCTCTTAGCTTGGCTGCAAGAGTGAGCCTGTGACAAGTCATGCATGTCAACCTTCCACTCCTGAGAAGGGACCTCTGAGGGTTGTACCAAGCAAGTCTTCTAATTACCGACCTTCTGACACATAAAACAACAATACAAAATTATAAATATATTTCTGAGGGCTGGCCAAGATAGCTCAAGGGGTAAAGGTACCTGCCACCAAACCATGATGACCTGAATTTAATTCCTGGAACCCACATGGTAAAAGACGAAACTACAAGAGGTCCTTTAACCTCACCTGTGCCATGGGCTCCCTCCTCCCACCAAACACACAACTAGATAAAATGTAATTTAAAGGAAAAATGTTAACTCTTAAATTTTCTCTTCCAAGTCAATGTTTCTAATTCTGTCACCTGCTTGATGGCTGCTCCCTGACCCTTCTCTATTGGAACCCCTCCCATCTGTCAGGGTGTTTCCTAAAATGTGAGAGCCAACATGGAGCCCACACTCCCCAGTGGGTGTGACCCAAGAGGCTGCCACCAAGCCACTGCCCACATACTATAGAAAGCTCTTTCAGTGAAACACCTCACAGAAGGGAAGATTGAAATTAAGCTACCAGGTTCCTAATCAATTGTATGTTCTCAAAAGTTTTGCCTTCCTTACTGTTCTCCAAAGTGGAGCAAGCTGGGAACAAGTCTGAGCTGTAAGATTAATTCACCAGTCTATCAGGAGACAATGACTTCATTCTTAACTTTCAGGGATACCATTCATAACTGACCAGTCATCTGTGAAGGACTCACAATTCTGCAAGAAGCGAATATTCCAGGTAGAAGGGTCCATAAGAGGCATGGGTGCCATTTGTTGACTGCGCTGCTGGAGCAGGAGATGTAGGCTTCGATATGGGCAGAGCATTTTTGGGAATAGAAGGTAGCTGTTTTTTGGGTGCACTTCGTGGAGGACTGGTTTTCACATCCCCTGCTAATGTCTTCTCTTCACCTTCAGCTCGCTGTTCAAGATGAAATTGTGAGAGCATTTATGGCAACTCTGAAAACAGAGCACACTGTTTGCTCCATCCTAGCGTCTAAGTTAGAGTTACTGTTTACATAGAAATTCTCATACCATGATTAAGATGCCTTCAAATCCCTTGAGAAGGCAGGTCAGAGAAGGAGCAAACAAGACTAAACAGGACTAAAGCAGTAAAAATCCCACTAGCTGCATCCCATAAGAATAATGCAGTCAAGCCTTTCACAAGCAACTGAAGCAGAAAAGCCATTAACAAGACCAGATACTATAGTACATGCAGATACTATATAGTACATGCAGATACTATAGAACATGCAGATACTATAGAACATG